GCTGAAAGCGGGGATGGGGTAGGAGAAGAGAGGGTTTAGCTGTGGGAAGCTACCCCTTCGGAATACCCAGGGAGATAAGGATGGCGGGAAAATTGTGTGTTCCCTTACCGGGCTTGTGTGGTGGGTCAGAAACACACTTACCCCTCCATTGTATCTTCTGCTACAGGATCAATGCCACTTGCTCTAAATAAAATTCTTTTAAAAATAATTTTATGTCTCTATTAGCTAACATTTAATTTACGTGTATTGAAAGCAACATTACAGCTACCATTTGATTGCAAAACAAAATTGTTTTCAAATCTTCCTGCAATCTGTGACTCTCTCATTTCACTGCTGATGAAAGCCATTCTAGTTGTCATTTACTCATGAGGTTCTTATGCTAAATTGTTCAACTAAACTTGTTCACTTAGACACTGTCCAAGGAGAGTCTATGACTTCAAGAATGGGATAGTAGGACTCTCAATCCAGAGGGAAAAGTGTGGATTGTTAAAAGGGATTTGATGATTGAGGCTGCTTATCATTCAAGTTAAATACAAGGGGAGATTTATACACCAACAATGGTCAATTCAGCCACAGTATAGGCTGCAGAAATTTCCATTGTCTGTGGTCTAAACATCCTTAAGGAATTTATTTAAAGAAAAAGAAATAATGATCCAAAACCCAGGACCACAATGTTAATGACTCAACTCAATCTTTTGAAACTAGGATCATGTATTTCAATCTTTCATTGTCTCCTATCAATACAGATTGCTTTAGTAGGAGGTTACTAAACAAGTTTTCAAAAAAATAGAGTAAATGCAGATCTCTTATACTATTGAAAAAGTTACTAGAGAATCCTGATCAGTAAAGAGAATAGTATCCAAGGAGCAGTTGTTTTCATACATCACTGGAAACTGGTTGACCATGAGGTTGAAGTTCATACTCACTTGCTTGCTGGGAATATTTTTCAGAAAAAAAAGAATCAGGGGGAAGTCAAAACTTTTGGTAAACATACTAATGATGGAAAACTTAGAAATTGCACTGGTATTCTCCAGTGGGACTATCCTCACCTGTAGAATTACCAAGTCAGTGAGTGTTTGTTTGACACCCAGTCTTCTGTACACATAGGTACACATATCTATTTACCTATTCTGTTGTCTATTTAAGAGTCCCACACACATATATTCAGTATATATGAATTTAGCATACTTGGGTTCTCAAAGTAATATAAACTATAAAAATCTATGTAATAATTTTCCTGTAAAATTTAGATGTCTCAAGGAAGAAATAATTCCATCTTTGTATAAAGATATGCATTATAAATAAAGGACAAAACATATCTTATATTTTGTGTATAGTATAGGTAAGAAAATAAAAACAGACCATCCACTTATATGGGAATAAAACAATGAAAAAATATGGTGCATTAAAACAATGCAATTTTTCACTTATAAAAATAAATGACTGAATGAAATTTGCAGCAACATGGATTGAAAATAAAATAAGCCAGATTGGTAAAATAAAAGTTGCTCATGTTCTCTCATTTGTAATCTAGATTTAAAACTCTCTCTCTCTCTTTCTCTCTCTCTCTCTCTCTCTCTCTCTCTCTCTCTCTGTGTGTGTGTGTGTGTGTGTGTGTGTGTGTGTGTGTGTGTGTGTGTGAAAGTAGTACAGGGACCATGAGAAGAAAGTAAAAGAACAGAGAATAAGAGGAACAGAGAGTCTAGTGGAATTCAAGTGACAATACAGCAGAAAGAATAACCATTGGTTGGGAAGAAGTAAAAGATAGAATGAAGTTCTGGGGAAGATAGTGTTGATTTGAAGAAATAAATGACATATTTAAGTGATTTTTCATAATAAAATTCATTATTTAATTTATTTATTTATTATTCATATTCATTTATGTTGCATGGTAACTAAAAAGAAATGAATAGGCAGATACCCCTTGCTGCCAAACTTGAAAATCAAAGCAAAGACTTACACAGTGTAAAAAGATGCCATAGTTTGTCCTACAACATCCAAAGATGACTCATAAAATGTTTTATCACATATACACAACAAACAAAAGTAATAAAATTTAAAACATTAATAAAATATTAATGTATAAAAATATTAAAAGTAGTGAGAGGATTGCAAAGTTACTCAATTTTTCTGTATTTTACACTAACCTGAATTTTTAAAATTTTTTAAAAAAGAAAACAAACTATATTTTTCATTATAAATACCAATCCAAGTTCCCACTCTCTTCCTTCCTCCCATTTCCTCCTCTTACATCACCCATCCTTCTCCTATGCTCTTCCTATGATAGGGTAAGGCACATTGTATTTAGGAAGTTCCTAGGCACTCTCTACTTTAACTAGGCTGATAAAGGTATCCCTCAAAAGAGAATAGGTTCCCAAAAGCCAGTACAAGCAGTGGGGATAAATCCCGGTGACACTGCCAGTGGCCTCTCAGTCTTCCCAAGCCGTGCAACCATCAACCACAATCATAGGGACTAACTGGGTTTTATGCTTGTTCCAGTCCAACTGAAGTTTGTGAGTTCCTGTTAGCTCAGGTAGACTGTTTCAGTGGGTAAGTGAACCCAGACCCAAAAATATGAATGTGGTATGTACTCACTCATAAGTGAAAACTAGCCAAAAAAAAAGAATATTGAGCCTATAGTTCATGTTCCAAGAGAAGCTAAATAACAAGATGAACTCTAAGAAAAAAAAATATATATAGATCATTCTAAAATTTGAAATAGTGAAATAGATAAGACCAGCTGACAAATTGGGAATATAGGTGTGAGGGAAGAAGAGAGAGTGGAAGGAGAAGAGCAGAGGAGAATGGGAGGGGCAAGGAGAAATTGAGGAATAATCTAGATGGAGGAAGAACAGAGATGAAAGCAAGGAAACAGATATCTTGATTGAGGGAGTCATTATGGGCTTAGCAAGAAACTTCTCTCTAAAGAAATTTCCATGTATTCAAAAGGATGAACCCCGTTAACACTCTATGCAAAGGAAAGAGGGATCCCAAACTGGCCTTGTCTGTAGTCAGACTGATGAATGTCTTAAATATAAACATTGAAACTTCATCCAGCAACTGATGAAAACAGAGGCAGAGACCCACATCAGAGCAATAGACTGTGTTCCACCTGGATCTGTGCTCCCTCCTCTCGATGCGGATCGTGGACCTTTCACACCTTATCACGAGCTTGGGGCGAGGTTCTGGGGGTTAAACACAAGACACACACACACAAAAATCTGGGTCATTTGCCAAATGCCGAATGTCAAGTTTTATTTTGCTTCCACCAGGTTAATATATCTCTTTCCCTAGAAGAGATGGACCCCCTCCCAGCCAGGAGTGAGGTCACAGCATTTAGAGCCTGGAGCCAAGTGGCAGGTTGTTCTCAGGCAGGGGGTACCAGACTGGGAGCTGTGAGAGACAGTTAGGAGAAGAATAGGTACAGTGAAAAGAGCCCCTTAAATAGCTTACTAGATTAATAATTAATAGTCAATTAGTAAATATTATATACCAGGATCCAAGAAAAACAGCAAAAGTTATCCTGGCCAAGCAGAAGTCAAAAACCCGTACCCAGTCTGTAAAGATTAACTGCAGTATTTAATTGTAAATTTAGCTCAATTTGAACGACCATGGTATTTTCAACGTGCCTTGAGGAGGTCCCCACATTGCACAGCAGGAGCAATAGGGGAAAATCCGGTAGAGTAGCCGCTTCTGGCAGCCACAGTAATGACTGACAGATCATGGGGAGGAAGCTGGGGAAGGTGGAGTCCAGGCACTGGACCGCTTCTCAGGAATCCACCAGCTCCACAGCAGACAGGTCAGCACCCGCTGGACCTCCTAGTTTTGTCCCATTCTCAGGCCTCTGGATGGAAAAATCCATGGTCCGCACCAGTCACTCTGGTTCCCAAATGGGGTGGTCTGCGTCCTGCGGAAACACACACACACCGCTCCTCTGCCCTAAATCAAAACACAGTCCGGATCACACCAGGTGCCATCCACCAGATTTTTCCATTTAATGAGAGGCTTTCCGGAGGAATCAGGCTACCAGTGTCGCTCAGCAGCGGTATGGGAACGAGTATCAACAGTCAGAAAGTTTAGAATGTATAAAATGAATGACAAATGTTCCCTGGGGTTGGAGTCGTAATCCCCCTTTTTAGTTTTGTGTAAATATTTGTGGGATTTACCCAAGGTCTGTATCACCACCATCCTGGTATGGACCGCGGCTACATACCACCACGAGCTTGGGCAAGGGCCTAGGGGTTAAACAGAGACACACAGAGAGTTTGGGTCATTTGCCAAGAGGTGAAGGCCCATTTATTTAGCTTTATCCAGAGTTAATATACTTTGGCCCCAGAAGAGAAAACCCCTCCCAGCCAGAGGGGGTTGGGGGAACGGACGCCATGTAGGAACTCCTCCGCATGCAGGAGGGTGAGGGGCAGAGGGCTGTGACAGATAGGTGAGAGGGACCTTGGCGCTGTGAGTTCTCCCGGGCAAGCTGGAAATTACCACACCAAAGATCGAACAAGCCCTGCAGCTAATTCACCAGGCTAGCAGAGCAGAGCACAGAACTTAGCAGGAAGCTTAGCTGGTTAGCCAAAACAGTCCTTGATTTGCATCCCAAGGAGCAAGGGAAGGCCCAGGCCCTAAAGGGCCCATTGCCAGTTTTTAGAGCTTTAGGGACTCCCATGTATGTAAAAGCCTGCAGAAAGTGGCTTTTAACATCCCGTAATTTTTCTCCAGTATTAACTGAGGCAAAGATAAGGTGGGAATATGTGTCCACAGATATGTGAACATATTGCAAGCGCCCAAAGGAAGGAACGTGGGTAACATCCATTTGCCACAAGTGATTGGGAGCCAGTCCACGAGGGTTGATCCCCAAATGGGGAACAGTTAAAAGTTGCACACACAAAGAGCATTTCTTAAAGATATCAGTGGCTTGCTCCCAAGATATCTTAAAGTGAAATCTTAAAGACCCAGCATTGAGATAAAAGCGATTATGAGCTTTCTTTGCAGCTTTGGGCACCATAGCTTAGCTGGTCAAAGCACCTGTTTTGTAAACAGGAGATCCTGGGTGCGATTCCCAGAGGTGCCTCCAAATGTTCCATCTGGATCTGCGCTCCCTCCTCCCGATGCGGATCATGTGCCTTTTGCACCTTATCACTTGCTTGGGGCGAGGTTCTGGGGGTTAAACACAAGACACACACACACAGAGATCTGGGTCATTCGCCAAATGCTGAATGTCAAGTTTTATTTTGCTTCCACCAGATTAATATACCTCTTTCCCCAGGAGAGAAGAACCCCCTCCCAGCCAGGAGTGAGGTCACAGCATTTAGAGCCTGGAGCCAAGTGGCAGGTTGTTCCCAGGCAGGGGGTACCAGGCTGGGAGCTGTGACAGACAGTAAGGAAAAGAATAGGCACCTTGGGAACCCTCCTTTGCAGGTAAAATTACCATACCAAAGATGAAACAAGGCTCTATGCTAATCCACCAGGCTGATAGAATTGAGCAGAGAAGTTAACAGGAAGCTAGGCTGGTTTGGCGTAAACAGTCCTTGCATCTTGTGCTTTGCCCTCAAGGAGCAGGGGAAAACTCTGGGATCCAACAGGACTGAGCTTCCAAACTCCAGTTGAAGAGTTGCAGGAATGAGAATATGAGCAAAGATGTCAAGACCACGATGTGTTCACCCACTGAAACAGTCTATCTGAGCAAATGAGAGGTCACAAACTCCAGCCAGACTGGGAATGAACAATCAAAGGACCAAACTAGTCCCTCTCATTGTTGTTGGCAGCATGGCTGGGACAGACTATGGGTTCACTGGCACCGGCACCAGGATTTGTCCCTAATGCGTGTACTGGCTTTTTGGGATACCTTCCTCAGCCTAGATATAGAAGTGAGAACCTTGGACAAGAGCAAGTCAAGATCGGGCCCCCTATCCTCTATTGCTTAGGATTTTAGCTGAAGACATCCTTCTGGATTCTTGACTTTGTTTAGTTCTGTTCCCCATTTTTAATTGGGTTACATTACAGTTTTAATTGGGTTACATTACAGTTTTTGAGTCAAGAAAAACTCTAATTTCTTGAGTTGTTTATTATTTTGGAGATCAGGTCTTCATCTAATGTAGAGTTGGTAAAGATCTTTTCCCATTTAGTAGGCTACCATTTTTGTCTTAATGACTGTGTCTTTTGCTTTACAGAAACTTCTCAGTTTCAGGAGGTCCCATTTTATTTATTATTGCTCTCAATGTCTGTGCTACTGAGGTTTTATATTTAAGAACGGGTCTGCTGTGCACATGTAATGAAAGCTACTTTCCACGTTCTCTTCTATCAGGTTCACTGTGGTCAGATTTATATTGAGCTCTTTAATCCATTTCTACTTGAGTTTTGTACTTCGTGATAGATATAGATTTATTTTCGTTCTTCCACATGCTAACAGACAGTTATGACAGCACCATTTGTTGAAAATACTTTCTTTTTTTCCATTGTATAATTTTAGCCTCTCTGTCAAAAATTAAGTGTTGCATAGGTGTGTGGATTAATACCCGAGTCTTCAATTCAATTCCATTGGTCAATCTCCCTGCTTTTATGTCAATACCACACTGTTTTCATTACTGTAGCTCTGGTATAGAGCTTGATATCAGCAAAGGTGATCCCTCGGGAAGTTCCTTTATTATACAGAATTGTTCGGTTATCATGGGGTTTTTTGTTTTTCTATATGAAGTTGATTATTGTTCTTTCAAGGTGTGTGAAAATTATGATGGGATTTTGGTGCGGTTTGCATTGAATCTATATATTGCTTCTGGTAGGACTGCTATTTTTACTATGTTGATACTACCTATCTAAGAGCATGGAAGATCTTTACATTTTCTGGTATCTTCTTAATTTCAATAAAGACTTGAAGTTCTTGTTGAAGTAATGGTCTTTCACTTACTTGGTTAATGTTACTCCAAGATAGTTTAAGTTATTTGTTGTTACTGTGAAAGGTGATGTTTCTTTTTCCCTCTCAGCTGCTCTATCATTTGTATATAGGAAGGTTACTAAATTTTTTGAACTAATTTTTTATCCTGCCACATTAATGAAGGAATTTGTCAGCTATAAAGTATTTGAGGTCACTAATATATACTATCATATCATCTGCAAATAATAAAATTTTTACTTCTTCCATTCCAATTTTAATTCCCTTGATCTTTTTTTGTTGTCTTATTGACATCAAAACTATGTCTTATTCACATCAAGACCTATATTGAAGAGATGTGGAGAGAGTGGACAGCTTTATCTTGTTCCTGATTTTAGTAGAATCACTTTGAATTTCTCTCCATTTAATTTGATTTTGGCTTTCAGCTTGTTGTATATTACTTTTATTATATTTATATATGTTCCTTGTATCCCTGATATCTCAAGAACCTTTATCATGAAGGAATGTTAAATTTTCAAATGTTTTTTGAGCATCTACTAAAATGATCATATTTTTTTTCAGCTTATTTATATGATCTATTGCATTGATGGATTTTTGTATGTTGAATCAGCCCTATGCTGCAGGAGCTGTTTCTGCTCCTTCCACAAATAGACTTTGCAATATCAACCCATTTGGATGTGGTCTTATTTGCTTTAAAAAACAGCGGCAGTCATGTGCTTGCCCTCTTGCTTCCAGCTCTGCTTCTGGCTGCTAGACTCCTTTCCTGATCACACAGAGGGCTGCCGTCTAGGATAGTAATCTGTAAGTTTTTTCCCTTTAAATAAATAATCTTTCTATTAATCATAATTCCAAACTGGTGTGGAATTGTTTGTGACTTAGGCCTTCATCTGGTGCCCCACACTGGGAGCCAAACTGTTGTAAAAGGAGCAGCAGGCTGCTTCTGCCACCCAGCTCCCAGCTAGTTTACCTGAAATAATTACATGGAAACTCTATTCATTTAAACACTGCATGACCCATTATTTCTAGCCTATTTTTGGCTAACTCTTACATATTGATTCAACACATGTATAATAATCTGCATTGCCAGTTGACTGTGGCTTACCGGCATTAGTCTAACCAGGGTCTGTCTCAGAGAGGAGAGCCATGGCATCTTCCTGACTCTGCTTTTTTTCTCCCAGCATTCTGTTCTGTCTACTCCACCTATCTAAATTCTGCCCTATCAAAAAGCCAAGGCAGTTTCTTTATTTGACCAATGAAAGCAACACATAGAAAGAAGACCCCCCTACACCATTTCAGTATTGAAGCAAGCTCTATTTTAGAGTTCCACTGAGGTTTCAGGAGAATAAGCAAGTTTGGGGGTGGAGTGGGGCTATTAGGTTGGAGGATCAGGTGCATGGGCTTGGATAATGGGGAAGTCTACCTGCAGAAAAACCTCCTGCTGCCTGGCTAGAAAAGCACAGGGAGTTGGAGAAGGGGCTCAGGTTTGTCCCATTGTGGAGGTCCTAGAGAGTGGAGTGTCCTACCTTGTGGCTGTTCACTCACCTCTTTAGTACTCTCCTGGAATGGTCATTTTATAACACTGTCTTGAGCATATTTCCAGCACTGGTTTTATTACCAGCATCCTGAATGTGCTATTTCATTATTCCCATTGTCTAGTTACAGAAGTTCATAGAAGCAAAATAACTCATTAAAGGTCCACAGTATAATATGGAACAAAATTTGACTTAGAATATTGATTTCTAAACTCTATTTTATAAAGACAAAGAGCAGGAAAAAATTAAATTCTGGGAGACTTCATTGCTCAAAAAGTTAAAGAAATTCTCATATGTAAAGAACTTGATTTATATCTAAACTCTTAAAATTTATATGCCTTCAATTAACAATCATAGGAAAGTCTGAGTGAAAATGAGTCTTTAAAAAAAAAAAACCAAAGCACATTTTCCATGATCAAAAAAACTTATGTTCATTGCCTGATACAAAATAAATTATGGTGTTTTATTAATGGAGCATACAGATTCAGATATATTCATGTGTATATGCATGTATATGAATGTGAGTGTGTGTGTGTGTGTGTGTGTGTAAACCAAAATAAATTGTGTCTACTTTACATTTTGTGAGTGTTCTGTAGTTAGCTAAATGAGAACAAGATCATCTAGGACACTGCAATTCTTAACCTTAGAAAAATTATTTCTAATAATCATCACCAATATTACTTGAAAGTGTCTAGTAAGTGCCACTTTTAATTTGCTTTAGTGAAAATGCAAACTTGGATTAGAAAATAAAATTAATATGAGAAATGGTTCTTCAGCATGCTAAAATCTCTTGTTTGATTTTGATAATAAGGCTTTACAAAAGACAAGCCAGTAAGCAGCACCCTTTCACTGTTTTATTGTCAACTTCTGCCTCCAGGTTCCTGTTCTGACTTCCTTCTGTGATGAATAGTGATAAGGATGTGGAAGCTAAGTGAATCATTTCCTCCTTGCAATTGTTCATAGTGTATTGTCACAGCAATGGAAACTCTACATAAGATAGCTGCTCCCATTCCCTCCACAAGGCTCCCATCCTACCCCCTTCTAATCCTCAGAGAAGGTAAGACACATTGCCTTGTGGAAGGTCCAAGTGCCTCTGCACTATATCTAGACTAACCAAAGAGAATAGGATCCCAAAGAGTTAGTACATGCAGTAGGGATAAATCCTGGTATCACTGCCAGGGGCCTCTCAGTCTTCTCCAGTTATGCAACTGTCAACCACATTCAGTCTGGTCCTATGCTTGTTCCTTCCCAGTCCAGCTAGAGTTACTAACCTTCCATTAGCTCAGGCAAACTGTTTCAGTGGGTAAACCCATCATGGTCTTGACCTCCTTGTTCATATTCTCATTACTTCCACTCTTCAACTGGAATTTGAGAGCTCAGTCCAGTGTTCCAATGTGGGTCTCTACCTCTACCTCCATTAGTTGTTGGATGATGGCTCAATGGTGATATTTAAGATAATCATCAGTCTGACTTCAGGGCAAGTCAAGATTGGGCCTGCTCTCCTCTGTTTTCCAGGGTTCTAGGTGGTGTCATGCTTATGGATTCCTGGGAATTTCTCTATAGCCAGATTTCTAGTAATCCTATAATGACTCCCTCAATAAAGATATCTCTCTCCTTGATCACATCTCTGTCCTTCATTCATCTCGACCA